TGTCCGTTCATTTTCAAAGCCCGTTGCTCCTTTCGAATCGTCGGGGACACTGATTCATGACGCCCTGCCCGTTGCCAAACAGACTTTGTTATCTAGGCACCATGGCACATCTAGGCACCATCAGAGATCTAGTAAAGCCGTAGGAGTATGAAACATGGCGACTGCTTTTAACTTGCGCATGACAAGTCAATACATCGTTGAACTCGGTTATGAGGCGAGCAGACGGGTAAACGCCTGACGATCGAAACATTAGTAGCGTCGCCGATGACAGACGGACAGTTAAGATGTTGTTTGCTGATGTCTTCATCGGTCGACTGTTAGCGATTTTTCACCGGAAACACGGGACGAGCTGTCGAGCTCCATCACTGTTCGACGTTACACGTCAAGTCAGGCAGCTGCCGTTGACGTCCTGACCCTGGGAGCGGCGTGAGGGACGAAGGTAGGCATCGCAACTCAGTTTCTGGTCGGCGGACGTGCGGCGGCGACGAACATGTGCTCGGAAACTGACCGATGATCGGCAACAGGACACCAGAGAAGCGACCTCATCGAATCGAACTCCTTCCGCTGCCAAAGTAGCACGTCATTAGGTGATGAATGGAGGCCAGTGGATGAACGAATCGCGAACTAAGTCAATAGGAAGCTCGTTTGTCAAACGGCCGACCTAACGACACGAGCAGCACCTCCGATGCTTGTCTTGGAAGACAGCTTCCTGAACAAATAATTTGTCACCGACGCCAGAACCTCCGGACAAACTATCACATGCTGAGTCATCCACACCTCGGCGCTTCAGCAGGTCGACGTTATCACCAGGCGATGAACCATCAGCCTTACAGCCGCAGTTCACCATTTGCCGCAGAGAAAATGGACTGCGAGGATTTTATTGATAATTTCCTCAATAACGTCTGCATTATCATTTTACATCTGTTTCGATGACTTCTGTCATAGCTACTCTACAAGATCGAGTCCCGAACTGAAACCCAACTAACGTGGTGGTCTGTCGAACCGCTTAAACGTGTCATCGATGCCATGCAGCGTCACAGAAAAATGAAACAAAACCTGAAAATTCATAGTTTACAAGATGTCACTGCTTCAACTGACCAACATCGGCCGTAAATATCGTCCGTCTGAATTTATCTTACTAAAGAAGAATTAAAGATTTCATTATATCATAAACAACACTTTTGCTGAAGGCAGACAACCGTTCGAATCGGTGGGTGGATCTCAAAGCTTCCAATTTCCTTGCAACTTAAACTTGACCTGGTCGTTAGGCTACCTCGTAGGTCTATTGACTGGAAAAGCGTGGTAGACTGGGCCAAACGAAGGGAGTAGAGATACTTTCGAGTTACGACTAACAGTATATCATAGATATTACAGGAAATCATAATAACAGCAAACAACGAGTACGGAACAAAATTATACCTTAAACAATTAAAACAGCAAAGCGGATATGAAACAATGAAGGAAAATATGTATAACAAAATTTCTCCATTAGGAAATGTCAAAAGTGTTCAGAAATTGTCTGCCACTAGGGTCGTTCAATTAATCAATCAAAGTT